TTTATTTTGAACTAATTTTAGACTTACAGAAAAGTTGCAAAAATAGCACAGAGTTCCGTTATATCCTTCATCTAGCATCTTATATAATTATAGTTATCAAAAACAAGAAATCAACATTGATACAATTCAGTTAACTAAACCAGAGGCTATGTTCAAATTTCACCATTTCTTTTAGTTGTTATTTTTCCTTAGTCTTCAGTCTGTGACAGTTCCTCAGTGTTTACCTGTCATTTGCGGCCCTTTGTTGTCTTTGTGACCTTCACACTTTTGAAGAATACTGGTCAGTATTTTGGGTTTAGTGTTTTTTGTTTTTAATTTTTAAAAATAGAGATGTGGTCTTGCTACGTTGCCTAGGCTGGTCTCGAACTCCTGGGCTCAAGTGATCCTCTTGCCTTGGCTTCCCAAAGTGCTGGGATTACAGGCACGAGCCTCAGCACCTGGCCTGGCCAGTTATTTTGTAGAATGTTCCTCAGTTTAGATTTTTATATTTTATCATGATTGGAAAGATAAAAAGATTACGCATTTTTGGCAATAACAAACACCACAGAAATGCCACTGTGTCCTTCTCACGGCATATCTTTGGGTTCATGATGTCCTTGTCTTATTACTGGTGATGTTAACCTTAATCACTTTTTTAACATAGTATCTCCACTGTCAGATTACTATTTTTTCTTTGTAGTTAATAATTATCCTGGGAGAGATACTTTGAAACTATGTAAATATTCTGATTGTCGTCTAACTGGATTTTGTCTGCAACTACTAACGGTACTGTTTCCCTAATGGTGGTTTTGTATTTCCTTCTTTCCTTCAATGTTTACTAATTGGAATTCTTCTGTTAGAAGGAGTTGTCCCTTCTCCCCTACTTATTTATTCAGCAATATCACTATGAACTCATTTTATTTTATGGGTTAAAGTCCAATACTATCACTATTCATTTTACTGCTCAAATCGCTCCAACCTGGATACCAGGAACTCCTTCAAGTTGGCTCCTTTTGACAAGGTCCCTAACTTTTTCTAGCATTTCCTTACTTTCAGGCACCACAGGATGTTTCAGGCTCATCTTGTATTTTCTCTGCCTCTGCACTGAAATCAGCCACTTCTCTAAAAAGTCCTAGTGCCTTTACAAACCAAGATCTGAATGCTCAGTGCTACTGGGGTATAACTATCAAGCCAACAATATGGACAACAAGTGTGTTTGTTTCCTTACTATATTCAACTCATTAGCTAGGAATCATTAGCATTACCTAGGAACTTGCTAAAAGAACAAATTCAGGCCCCAACCTAGACCCACTAGACCAGAATCTCTAACAGCCTCTGGCAGGAGTTTATGCTTTAACAGATTTGCCAGATGACTCTGGTGTTCACTATAAAGTTTAAGGAGCATTGCTTTAAAGTTAGTTTTCCTTCATTATAAATCTTATATTTTTAATTTTAAAAAAGGAAAGCTTGCCGGGCGCAGTGACTCACGCCTGTAATCCCAGCACTTTGGGAGGCTGAGACGGGCATATCACGAGGTCAGGAGATCGAGACCATCCTGGCTAATACGGTGAAACCCCATCTCTACTAAAAATACCAAAAAATTAGCCGGGCATGGTGGCAGGTGCCTGTAGTCCCAGCTACTCAGGAGGCTGAGGCAGGAGAATGGCATGAACTTGGGAGGCAGAGCTTGCAGTGAGCCGAGATCATGCCACTGCACTCCAGCCTGGGTGACAGAGCGAGACTCCATCTCAAAAAAAAAAAAAAAAGGAAAACTTAGACCTAATAATTTGCCTTGTATATAAATTATATTTTTACTACAACTAATAAAACTATAGGTGAATGGCCTCATCTGTTAAGGAACTAAACATTTCCCTTATCTTCTTTATTTTCCTACAACATTTGTTAAAAATCTAGTGGTCAAAGTAGTTATAAAGGGGGGTAGGGGCGGGAGGCGCAGTGGCTCATGCCTTTAATCCCAGCCTTCTGGGAGCCAAGGTGAGAGAATCATGTCAGGCCAGGAGTTTGAGACCAGCCTGGTCAACACAGTGAGACCCTATCTCTACAAAAATACAAAACATAGCTGGGTATGGCAGTGTGTGCCTATCATCTCAGTTACTTGGGAGACTGAGGTGGGAGGATCACTTGAGCTCAGGAGTTCAAGTTTGCAGTAAGCCATGATAGTGCCACTATACTCCAGCCTGGGAAACAGAGCAAGCCCTTGTCTCAAAAAGAAAAGAAAAGAAAAGAAAAAAATAGTTATATACAGTACTTTAAAAAATACCATAGTCAGGTATTGTGGCTCATGCCTATAATCCTAGGAAGTTCAAGCAGGAGAAGACTGCTTGAGCTCAAGGGTTCAGAGACCAGCCTAGACAACATATCAAGATCTTGTCTATACCAAAAATACAAAAATTAGTCAGGTATGGTGGTCTGTGCCTGTAGTCTCAGCTACTTGGAAGGCTGAGGTGGGAGGATTACTTGAGACTGGGAGGTCAAGGATGCAGTGAGCCGTGATTGTGCCACTGCACTCCAGCCTGGATAAGAGAGAGACATCTTGTTTCAAAAAAGAAAGAAACAAAAAACTTTCATACAAAGAATGTTATAAGTCAGCCTCCAGGATCAACTCCTATCTACAAATATGACCTAACATCCATAAAGCAAATCTACCAAACATAAAACCCAATATAGCACTATCCTCTAAGGTCAGACTGTCTAGGCCTGTATGACTGCTCCAGCTTCTGACTTGGTGTTTCTCTTTCTCTCTCTGCCCTTGGCTTTCTTTGTTTTTTGTTTTGTTTTTGAGACGGAGTCTCACTCTGTCCCCCAGGCTGGAGTGCAATGGCGTGATCTCAGCTCACAGTAACCTCCGCCTCCCAGGGTCAAACGATTCTCCTGCCTCGAGCCTCCCGAGAAGCTGGGATTACAGGTGCCCGCCACCATGCCCAGTTAATTTCTTTGTATTTTTAGTAGAGATGGGGTCTCACCATGTTGGCCAGGCTGGTCTCAAACTCCTGACCTCAAGTGATCCACCCACCTTGGCCTCCCAAAGTCTGGGACTATAGGCATGAGCCACTGTGCCCAGCCCCTGGCTAACTTTTTCCTTGGTTTTCTTAATTATAAAATGGAATAACAGTACTTAGATGAAAGAGGCAATGTGAAGATTAAATGAGATAATGAGCAATACTGACAACCACAGGGGCAGAAAAGAAGTCCTCAAAAACTGTAAATTGTTATTATTTGAACTACTACAGGCAAAACCAAACAGCTTCATTTAATTAAAACAAAATCCCAGAAGACACCAATGTTTTAAAATTTGACTTTTTCCAAAAATGTCATTACATTTACATGATATATACTCATGGTCAAGGGCTGAAGGAAAATCTCCAAAAACCAAACAATTTGATTTGTTGAGGTAGTGGAATTATAGGTGAATTTGCTTCCCAGAAATTTTGATTACCAAAATTATGTGCACAGTTCATAACTGAGTCATGGCACCAAAAAAAAAAAAAAAAAAAAATTCATGTGTCAGCTCCTTTAAATACTAGTAAAAAGGGAAACAGCCCACACAGTGACAAAATAGGAATTCAAACCCAGCTATGACTCCAAAGTCTATGCTCATTACCAATGTTAGGGACACCCTTCCTTATTCCCAAATGTTTGATTTCTGTGCAAAATTTATGGTAATGTATGATCGCCCTACGAATTCCTTCTTGTGGGACACAGTTTAATCCAGTAGTTCATATGATGTAGAAATATTAATGAAATTTTAACACAATTAAAATTCTAAATGGTAAACAAAACAGCCAATTCTTCATTCTTCAAATTTTTTGGGAGGTTGTCAGATCTCCAAGTTTATGGGCCTTCGCAGTTAACTTAGTGAACAACCTCAAAGTGATAAAGCAGACAAGGCTTCTTGAAGCAAACTTTCCTTCAGGAAATTCAAGTGGCATTTCAAAGAAGTGTGGACTTTCCTGGAATAGAGTTTTGACTTCTGTGTTCCATGGAAATGAATGAAACACAGAAATGACTTCTTAGGCAAAAATAAGTTATATACAAGATACAATGCATTGTTAAAACACCCAATAATCCTCAAATAATTAGCTACATTCTGAAGTTAATTTACTCGTGAATTATTGAAGCTCTCAAGCTAGCATTACCTCTATATTAGGAAAGAAACTAGATAAAATAGTTCTTAAATGAGTCACGAAAGGTTGCGTAACAAACCTGCAGAAAAACAGGTAATCAAGTTGTGGACTGCACATTCAGCATAATAAACATTATTGAAGACAGGCACTCAATTTTCATAGCAAATGTTAGTTTTTCAAACTGTTCTAATCCACACAAAGCCTTCCAAGAACATCTGTAGTTACTCTACCATGAAGTTCCTTTTTTTATTAAATGTTTCCACTGGCCCTTTATATACTCACCTTGTGCTCAAAAAATAGAGCTCAAAAAACATGGATAACTGCCACAGCTTAAAGAAAGGATCTCTCATACAGATCCAAAAGAAAATGTGTTACAACCTAAAGACAGGTAAAACAAAACCAGTATGTTTAATCTATGTAACTCATTTCTGGATCTGTGTAACAGTATAAAGTCTGATAATTAAGCATTACTCATAAAGTAGAGAGTACTATGAACTTTGTTAAAAGAAGGAAAAGGCACAAACTTTTTCATCAGGTATTAAATACAATTGGGAGAATGTACATATATAATATGTAAGCAAAATGGTAGGAGGTCTTACTGAAACTTCAACTTTGCCCTTTTTAGCACCATTTTTTTTTTAAGTACTATCTTTTCAGGATTAAGATTAAGAATGTCGAGATCCTAGGCATGCTGGGCATGGAGTAATCGCCACCTACACTAGTAGGCAAATTTCCCACTTACATTTCGAACCCTAAAATAATTCTGCTTCTCATATTAAAGTCTAAACCCCAAAATTTACTCACATCTTACCCCATTTAATATTTATAAGATTCAGTTTCTTTTTATCCTAAAACAAAAATATATCCCCAACCTACCTCGTTTACTGTTTGAGTGAGGCCAGGCGTGGTGGCTCACGCCTGTAATCCCAGCACTTTGGGAGGCTGAGGCGGGGGGATCGCTTGAAGCCAGGAGTTCGAGACCCGCCTGGGCAATACAGTGAGACCCTGTCTCTACAAAAATAAAAAATAAAGTTATTAGTGGGGCATGGTGGTGCGGGCCTGTACTTCGAGCTACTTGGGAGGCTGAGGCGGGAGGATCGCTTGAGCCCAGAAGTATGAGGCTGTTGTGAGCTACAATCACGCCACTGTACTCTAGCCTGAGTGACAGGACAAGTACCTGTCTCAAAAACAATAAAAATTAAAATACCATTTGTGCGGTAGGGAGGTGGGGGTGGGGAGGGGCCGTTTCTGGAAGTCCTTTTGAAAAATTCAAGACATTAATTCCAATACTAAAACATGGAAAAGTTGCATAGTCATTTTGTTTACTTACAAATTCTGGCGGGGTTTCAAATCGTAGAACTGTTAGTATCAGGAGAGCCCTTCGAGTGGTCTTTCCGCTCCACACCGCTCGGCTGCACCCAGCGGCCGCTGCGGCCCGAATGTCGTCCAGGGTCCCCGCCCATATGACAAACACTTTCCGCCGGAAGGCGCCTGTGGAATGCTGGGACTAGTAGTCTCCGCGCCCTGCCTTCTGCCTTCTCCATCCTTCACCCTCTACTGCCAGGTCGTCTGACCCAGCGACAGGCGGTAAATGCGCGACCAAACCGCGGAGGTCCCCGAGTTCTCATGCTATCTGACAGGATTACAGGCATCTCTGTAAGACGTCGACCACCCTGACCCATATGACCTGACATTCATAGACTGAAGAAACTCATAGGACCAACACAGTGAGCAGTACCAAATGATAATGGCAAGCACCAAGTCCTGGAACACACCCTCTGTGCCATTAAGAGGAGCATGTACTCAAACGAATTGCCTAATCTAAACCTCAGTTTGCTCGTGTGTCAAATGGGGACAACGTTACTTACCTCATAAGATGGTTATGAGTAAATTAGATGACATATGTAGTATGTCTGCTAAATGACAGTAGTGACAAAAAAATAGCTATTGTTTTGATCTATTAATTTTATAAATGTGAAAATTAAGAGATGGCGAGCAATTTACCCAAGAACATACAATTTGTTGGGGGCAAAATCGAGTAAGTCTAAAATTCCTGTTCTTGACCTATACCAATTCAAGACAAATCTAAACCAATTTCAAGAAGAAATCTACTCATGTAAAACTCCCTTCCCCTTTCCTCAGTTTTATCCGTAACAGTCCTGACCAACACACTATTTTACTTATTTTGATTTTTGCCTGACTCCTCCCATAGAATATAATCTCCAAGAAGGCAGGAAACATTTTTTTTTAAATCAATTTTGTTCATGCTGTATCCCCAGCATAGAGAACAGGGACTGCCTACTACATAGTAGCTCAGGTATTTATTGAATTAATAATTCCTCATTTAATGTGATTTTTTGGTGCCTTCACTTCTCAACCATCCTCTTTTGGCAGAAGTGACAGGATATGGTAACACTCTTGGATGGTGTTTAATAATTAACTGCAATTCCTAATTCAACAAAAAGTAGAATACTATATTCCATCCACTTCATTGTGTTTAATTTCAGTATAACATTTCCAGCTATTTTCATTTGTATTAAGTCATTAAAATATTTTTTCTATCATTTGTAAGACTGGGGAATAAATGGAGCCAGCTACTATATCTTTAATTAACTTCCTCCTGTTTAATATTTTAATCATATTTTCCTTATTAAAATTAAGTGTTGCCCACTTCATTTCTACTACTAAGTCACAACAGATAGATGATTTCTCTTTAAATAAATGAATTTCTGCTTACCCTAAGCAAAAAGTTCCTGTACAAAATTTGTTCTCAAATGTTTCATTTAAAATAATTTATTTTGACCAGGCGTGGTGGCTCATGCCTGTAATCCCAGCACTTTGGGAGGCCAAGGCGGGTGGATCACCTGAGGTCAGGAGTTCAAGACCAGCCTCGACAACATGGCAAAACTCTGTCTCTACTAAAAATACAAAAATTAGCTGGGCGCGGTGGCAGACACCTGTAATCCCAGCTACTCGGGAGGCTGAGGCATGAGATCACTTGAACCCGGGGTGGCGGGAAGCTGCAGTGAGCTGAGATCGCGCCACTGCACTCCGGCCTAGGCGAAAGAGCGAGACTCCGTCTCTAAATAAATAAATTAAAAATGAAACAAAATAACTGATTTAGGAACCCAGTCTCAAGAGCACAGGATTTCTAGACCTAGCCCTAATAGTTAAGTGTGTGAATTAATGCTAGTCATTTAATCTGAATTGTAATTTTTCGTGTTTCTCTTTCCCAATAAATGGCAAATTCCCTAAAGGTAAAGCAATCTTCCTCATTGCTGGCACAAAATACATGTTTGGTAAGTAAATGAATTATTTAGTGTATTCTTTGTTTTAATCATTTCTTTTCTTTCTTTCTTTTTTTTTTTTTTTTGAGACAGAGTCTCGCTCTGTCCCCCAGGCTGGAGTGCAGTGGCCGGATCTCGGCTCACTGCAAGCTCCGCTTCCCGGGTTTATGCCATTCTCCTGCCTCAGCCTCCTGAGTAGCTGGGACTACAGGCGCCCGCCACCTCGCCCGGCTAGTTTTTTCGTATTTTTGTAGCAGAGACGGGGGTTTCACCGTGTTAGCCAGGATGGTCTTGATCTCTTGACCTCGTGATCTGCCCGTCTCGGCCTCCCAAAGCGCTGGGATTACAGGCTTGAGCCACCGCGCCCGGCCTAATCATTTCTTTTCTTACTGGTCTTCTTTTATGAGTCGCTGAATTCCTCCAGATTTCTCAAATTCCCAAAGTAACTTTAACATCCAGAGCTGAGGCCTCCTTTTTTAGTGGCCCAGCGCATCCCTTATAATATTGGCTATGAGTCTACTGTCACTGTAATGTCACCTCTTTTGAGCAACTCTTATAGTCTGGATAATAGCTACAGCAGAGTATCTAGTTTTATAACAGTTTAGCTTTGCCTCAGAGTGAGTCAGTGTGGTATCTGCAAGGTTTCTAGGTGAAGGAGGCAGTCACAGTAGAGGTAGGTTTCTGTATGCTTACAACCTAGACAAGAGAGGGAAAATCCTATGCATATATATATATGTATGTATATTACCATTAAAGTTACCATGCCTCTAATTTTACAGTGTCTCATTAATTAGTTGAAAGGCCATTCCTAAGCCTTTACAAGCAGTTTTAATTACAAAATATGCATATTCTGATTATTCAATAATATGTAGAACCTCTCATCTTCTCTGATTGTTCAGTATGTAGAATCTCTTCTCTTTTTTAACTTGTCCCTCAACCCTAAGTTTTACAAGCCTGTATCCAAGTTTTATAAGCTAGTATCCCAGTTTCTATATAGTCATCTGTCTTGGTAAAATGTTTCAAGGAGACTTTAATGTTCATAACATGAACTCAATATATTACCGTAAAATTTATATTTAATAATTAAATCAAGGAACTTACACTATTGTGTTACTAATGAGTCATGTAATAGCCACCTTAAAGGGAAAGCCCTACTTAAAACATAAATAAAAGCCACATATTACCATATCAATACTTATCAGTATTTTGTTGGAAAAATCTAGCAAATTTCCGAAATATACCATCTAATCCAGGCTGACAAGGGAGAGTACCTTTTCATTTTTCCTTAAAAGACAAGAAGAAAGAAAAAGAAAGAGACAGGGATAAAGAAGTCTCTTTTGTTACTTTCCTGCAGTTTTTAAAAGCTATATTGTATATAAAGCTACAGTAAACTAAGCTCCTACCAGGCCAAACCCTATCTCACTCTAAAACTCTAATTCCTCGTGCCTGTGGCCACATTTATGGACAATATTAGTAAAAACATAGTACACTGCCAGGCGCAGTGGCTTATGCCTGTAATCTCAGCACTTTGGGAGGCCGAGGCGGGCGAATCACGAGGTCAAGAGATCCAGACCATCCTGGCTAACACGGTGAAACCCCGTCACTACTAAAAATACAAAAAACTAGCCGGACGTGGCGGCTGGCACCTGTAGTCCCAGCTGCTGGGGAGGCTGAGGCAGGAGAAAGGCGTGAACCCTGGAGGCGGAGCTTGCAGTGAGCCAAGATCGTGCCACTGCACTCCAGCCTGGCTGACAGAGCAAACTCCGTCTCAAAATAAAATAAAATAAAAACTAAAAACATAGTACACATTACGACCTAAGTAGTTGAAATTTGTGCCAAGTCTGAGCAACAAATGAGTTGCTCAGAAGCATTTTAAGGTGATTACTTGGAAGAATAAACAAACACCTTCAAACTTTTCAGAATCACTCATTGTAACTGGTATCCAAATTACAATTTTTAAAATCTGTTCACTCCAATCATAGCAAGTCCCACAAGAAGTTGTATATTTGAAGGTGATTTGAGCTTTTTTTCAATAATTATTCAGACTTTACACGAACTTAATCGACCTTCTCTGAGTGTGTCTAAATTTGGTTAGGTATTTGCAGATTAGCCACATCTGTAAACATGGTATATGGAGGTGAAACAAATAGCTTTTACCATGCTTATTCCAGAAAGTCCAGAAAGCATTCTAAATCAAATGTAGAGTATCACGTCATATCCAGAATAAAAGTAAAAATAATGGATCACAACTTAAAATTACAGTGCTGTCTTTAATAAAAAAACGTGTTCCTCACTGTGCACAATGTAGCACTAACATGGTCTTCCGAACAGTGCTGCTTGGTATAAAACCAAGAAATATTAAAGACCAGGAATAAGGTCATGTTTCCTATGGGTACATTTCGGAAAAGAAAATACATTCAAAGAATATGACTGTAGACAGGATTTTGCACAATCTCAACAGGTGACAAAATTTAAAACTAGGTAACCGCCTTCATTAGGAACTTGAAACTAAAATTTTTGCCACGAAAACATGACATGTGCAAAAGTTATCTCTCTGGCCATCGCTCCTAAGGACACTGGGAAGGACATGCTCAACGTAGCAGTGGATCAAGATTCCAGGGAAACTGCGCAACAGCCTGGGGCCGAGAAGCGAAACCTGGTCTTCTTCACCCTCGTCTCACTCCTTTTCCCGCAGACTTGGTAGTGGGAGATAGGACGGGCGTCTCCTATATGCAGGCAAAACTTGCCACGAGCGGCTCGACTTGGGACAGGCAATTTGCCCTGCCACCCTTCCGTCGCCCCCACCCCTCCTTTACTGAAGGCCGAAGGCAGAGACGTCCTCCTCCCCCTTCTCCTCCTCTTTGGTGTCTCCAGCCAGGAGGCGGGAGCGACCCACAGCAGCTGACCCAGCTCAGGCACTGCCTCTTCCACAGCCCTCAAGACACACCATGGGCCCAGAGGCAGGTTTGCTACACAGCAGCGACGACGCAGGCGGCGGCCCCGGCGACTCGCAACTGCCTCCCTGACCACAGCGACCACCGCCTAACACACCCGAGAAGCCATCGCCGCCACCGGCAGGAGAACCTAGGGTCCAGAAAGCCATCCTCGCGATCAACTAAAGCTACGTCAACAACTATGGCGGGCGAGGGACCGCGGGCG